TTTTTTCTCCTCCTCTTACCTCATGTAGTGTATTTTCGTTGTTTTTTCCTATCAGCCTACCTTTCTGACATGTCTGCCCAATGTGATGTTTGTGTAAAGTTGGTCAGAAGGTTCCTTTGTAAGTGCGCATGCGCCATTAGCGTGCTGCCTGCTGTAACCCTAATTTCACTCGGGATGAATAAAGTATTCTGATTCTGATTATGCTGATTATTTTCGCCACGTCTACTGGCCATGCATGAAATTAATGAAAGTTTGAAATATTTTTACCAGATGCTGCAGATTAAATCCTAATATTTTGGATTTTGTTGGTGTTATTAAGTATTGAAAATATTGCTTTGGTAACTTGTCAGAACAGGAATTTTTGAACAACAGTTGAAAACTGCTAGAGCATAACTGCTATATAAATGACAGAGCTCACTCAGCTCACATTAAATTTACATTTGCAGTCTTGGACTTGATGCTTGATACAAATGGAAATGTTAGATTTCATTGTATGAAACCACTGAAAAATAATTCAGAGCTATATAGTGTTATTTAGAAATGTGATTTTAAATTTATTTATGCACTTAACACTGAGTTACATGTACAACAACAATAAAAAATGTACAATTATTTTAAAATGTTTTCTCAGTAACAAAAGTAAACAACTCTGCTATGTGCTTGAAAGTGTGCAGTTTACTTTTTGTATTTTTATTGTGAGGTAAATAAGACAAAAATGATCAGTAAGGACAGACAAACAAAAAAAGACAAGCAAATTCATCAAATATATTATTATAGTGTAGTCTCATAACTATGTATAGAGCATTATGTGTGTTGATTGAAATGGTAAAAGAAATAATTTGATAGTCATGAAAACTTTTTCAACTATATAAAGAATAAAAAATGCTCTCAAATCACAGCCCAGAAGCCTACAGCAGAGCCTAATGCACATTCCAGGATGATTTTCTCCTTGTATGCGGTTAGATTTTTTATTGGAACTAGAGGGCTCACGACCAACCAAATAGTATTAAAACTTGAATAAAGTTGTTCATTTACTTGTCATATTTCTTGTTATATTAAAAGCCCTAATCTTCTGTGATGCAAAAAAAAAAAAAAAAAAGAGAGCAAAGACATAGTAATGAGGGATGAAATTTTCCAGTTATCTTTTCATGTGTTTTTTAATAATTAATATTTATTCCTTAAAAAAAATTGTTTCCTGATGTGATGCAATAAAAAAAAACAATGTCATTAATTGGCTCATAGTAGGAGAGATTGGGCACAGTGGATGGAGGTCGAGGCCAACCCAGAGGTCCCACCACAGCCCCAACCCATCTAGTGACATACCCTGGAACCCAGAGTGTTCCAGAGTAGGACAATTTGGAACACTCAACAACAACAACAATAATAATAACAATGATAATAACAAACAACAATGAAAATATTGCTGATGAATACCATGTACGAGTAACTGTTAGGAAAAAATACCAGAACTTTATGTGTGTGTGTGTGTGTGTGTGTGTGTGTGTGTGTGTGTGTGTGTGTGTGTGTGTGTGTGTGTGTGTCGATGTGTGCACATGCATATGCGCAGTTGGGCAGTTATGTGTAGTTATGTGTTATGTGTAGTCAGTATCCAGAAATTGATTTAGAAAGACATATAAAATATCCAATTTCGACTTGGAATTGCAACAATAATCATTTCCAAAAAACTGATATACTATGATTAATTTTTGCACATTAAATATTTCTTGGTGTTCTTCTCAGGCTTAAACAATATGATAAAACATTTTGGAGCAAATATACACATTATTAGTCCAAAGCTGGAGGCCAGAATGGCAAAAATCTCCACAACCACAGTGAACTTTCCAGGAGAGCTGACATATGCTGGGATAAAGGTGATCCACACTGCACAAAATATCAGCATGCTGAAGGTGATAAGCTTGGCTTCATTGAAATTATCAGGTAA